ACTCTAGTATCTTGCAATAAGTTAGCCATTTGTGTTTGCCTATTATTTCTCGTCTATAAAATGCTTCTTGTACTGAGGTCCACAAAGGTGTTTTCAGGTTCCACCTGGGTTTGTATGTATTCCATATTTTCAATATGGCACATCTGACATAATGATTATAAAAATCTACATTTACTTTAGCTTTGTTGTACCACAAATATCCATGCTATCCAAATCTCAGGTCATGTCCTCCTAACTCCAAGAGCCTTCTATTTCTCAGCAATACCCACTCTTTCATCCAAACCAAACAGCGGGCTGCAAAATACAATTTCAAACCAAGTAAACCCAGTCCTCCTCTTTCCTTTGCATCTTGTAAGACCTTATATTTAACTCATGTTTTTTCCCTGCCACACAAATTTAGATATATCCTGCCACTGTTTAAATGGTGTATCAGTTGTCAAAACACGTATTGTCTGAAACAAAAACATCATTCTAGACAAGACATTCATTTTTATCACAAAAACTCTCCCCAGCAATGACAGTTGTAATTTCTCCCATATATTTTGTAACGAGTGAATACATTTTTAGTAATTTGGGTTCCCACTTTTTAAATGTTTCTTTCTTTTACAGATTCTTGGGCATCTCACCCAGCTGATACCTTCCTTCCCCCCTTCTGCTGTCTGCTATTCTGGCCATAGAGAGACCAGAAGTTTCTTCTGAATTTCACATTTAGGGGAAACAATTTAGAAAAGAACAGCATAGCATTTGCTTTGTTCTTAGGAAAGATCACAACAGAAAATGATATCCATCAAGGAATGGTGAATGCAGCATAGAAGATGAATTCTAAATAGGAGCCTTCGTGAAAATCATTTGCTAAGCAGCATTGGTCACCATTGTATTTGTTCAAGGACCTTTGGTACTAATGAATAGGTAATGGAAATGCATGGCTTCTCTTTTTATTACAGCTGAAATTCACTTAGTCATAGGAGGGTCATGGTGACTTTCTCCACCTAATTTTCCTGCCAATGTGCAAAGCAAATATATTTTTCATTGGACTAACTTGGTCTACAAGTTAAAATTGCCAGGACATTAAACAAGCTTTATTCATACTACATTTAAAACTTCTGTAGCAACTTCTAGCCATTCCAGCAATGTGGATTCCGCCCTCTATTTTATCAAGCATTTTTCCCCATTGAAAGAAGATACTCAATTACTCTTAACTTTCTATTTTTGTAAAATCTAACAAATTATTACTAGTCCGCATGGTAAGTTGATTCAGTGAAAAAGTATTATGGGTGCTTGCTTGTAAACACAGATACAAAACTGTAGAAACATAATGCTATGACCATGATAAACCACATGAACAAGCATGTTTCTACATGCTATAAAATAATTCCAGGTTCCTTCTGCCAATTGAATGGCTAAATAAGACAGGAAATTTGTGTTTATCATTTTATCTGAAATGTGATCCCTGGCTTGTTCTACTAACAAACCAGAATCAATAGCAAGGATTATGTGCAAGCTTGACCAATGACTAAGGGTTTCTGGGAAACTGAGGAAGATCCTTTCAAGGTTCAAAGCACAATTACTCTAAAATGACTCCCATAGCATTCAAGTGGTTTTCATACAGAAAAATTTGCACAAATTGTATTTATGAAGCATTTTACGTAGTGTTTTAAATTTGCCAATCCTTACGAGTTTAGGCATAGATTATTCTGCATAACATCCAGTTCTTAAATTTCCTAGGCACCACCAACAAACATTGTTGGCATTGGAAGATGTTGGCATTCAATAGTTTTACAGTCTTGAGTTATTTATCTTTATATCCCTTTTTGTATGTCCCTTGCCACAGATATTTTGTGTTCCACAACTAAGGCTACCAGATCTAGGCTGCAGAATCCTAGGTGACCAGTAGAGGGCAGCAAAGAGATACAGAAAACCGCTCTTTGCTCCCATCTAGTAGTAATTCTGCAAGCCGGATTTGCTAGCCCTATAGACAACAGTGAGCTCATTATTTGTTTATTTATTTATTAAATTTATCTCCGCCCATCTCCCCCTAATGGGGGACTCTGGGCAGCTAACAAAATCCATTAAAACAATAAATATATAAAACATAAAAACTAGGGACAGCAAAGAAATGTATATGTATATGTAATATGGGCTAGCCCCATAGAGCCCTTCTGCTTTCAGCCTCAGATTTTTCATCCTCTTGGTCTCTCCTTCTTCTTTTTAGTATTGTTTTTAATTAAGGTTTTATGTATATATATATTTTATGTTTTTAATGTTCGTTGTGAATCGCCCAGAGTTCCCCCATTGGGGGTAGATGGGCGGTTGAAAAAATTTAATAAATAAATAAAAATAAATACAATAAATATTAGGGATGTATCATTTTAGAGAAAAGGTCTGTTCCCTTCATATGACAAAGCATGGAGAGTTAGAAACCTTGTTACTGTGATATTTAGCTCTTTTAATTTTTCTGTTTGAGGGGTTATTGTTTAAGCCCTCACCTGCAGCTTGGGTACAGCTTGCCTACAGATATACCATCGCATCAGTGCAGGGATTCTTGCAATCACAAACTGGTCTAAGAACAGGTAGTTAAGGATTGCTTGAGTCATGTGTGAAAACAGGTACTCTGGTTTCTGTTCCTTGCCCATCCCAAGCTCCCCCATGACAGCCTATCCTAATCGAGATCTCTGCCAATACCTTGGACTATAACCCAGGATCCCCAACCAGCACGGCCTTTGGAGAGTTGATTCAAACGTACGGGAGTTCAGGTGTCACATACACCTGGGGGCAGGTGGAGGCTGACAGACAGATCTATTTCCAGAGCTGCTTAAGTCAAGTCCTTCACTTGCTAGAGGCGGAGCCTTGCTAGGGGCAGACTTCTGTTTCTATTTATACAGCCGGGGGCGTAGAAGCCACCTAGGACAGCCGTACCCACGTTGCTACCCGCGGACGGAGAAGGGCAGCGCAGGCAGGGCCAGGCCGCCCGGGCGAAGGCCCCCGGCCCGGCCGCGCCACCTCCCTCGCGCGGCCTTTTCCCCCGCCCGGCACCCCCCCCTCCGGTGCGTGGCTGACGGGAAAGCTCCCTGCGGCTCAGCTCCGCCTCCGGAGGAGAAAGGGCCGGACACGCTGCAGGCAGGGGCGCCGGCGAACGCGGAGCGGGCCGGGCTTCCTGGTGTGCGCCGCG